AGCACTATCCATCGTGAAAAGACCGAGAAAATTGACCTGAAGCGCATGCTCCAGGAGGCCCGCGATGAACTGGAGACGAAGCGCCGTGAATCCACTGCGCCAACCGGTCCGCTCAGCAAACGCCAGAAGACCAAACCTGACCCTGCACGCAAGGCCGCACGGCCTGAGCTGCTGGGTGCGGGTCGGAAGAGAGCGGAGATTGAAATCCATGAATCGGACTGGGAAGACAATGCCACCGACGCCAGTCCCTCTCATAAAGCCGCTCTCAAGGCCTCCCGGGCCCGTATGGGAGGACAGTCTTCTGAAGAGCCGAGCGACGCATATCAGACCGCTACCGAAGCCGACGACAACTTTGAGACAGCCACCGAACGAGGAATAGCCACGGAAAGCGAAGCGTTTCAGACTGGCCTAGAAAGTATGGCTGATGATAGCACGGATAGTGGTGAGCTCACGGAGACAGATGACCGGCTCCAGAGGACTCCACGCGGGCGCGTGTCCTCTTTCACGATGGCCAAGACCCGCGACCGGAAGGCTTACGAGAGTACTGCATCCAACTCAAGTGACGAGGACGTAATCGATGAGGAAGGCTTCCCATCGCCTAGCCAAATTAGCCCTAGGTACAGGGTGAGGAACAAGAGGAGTATCGTGAGAAGGATCCGTCCTTCGGGCGAGGCTCCCATGGCTTCCAATAGCAGGCCCTCCACCGCTCGCGAATCCCCAGCCACAAGCTTCATGCAAAGCTCAGCAAGCCCAGAGGGACAGAGTCTCTTCATGGAGCTTGCTGAGTTGGATGGTGACGATGACCAAGAGGATGACTTCGGGCCTCCGATGCGCTTCGACACGGCGTCCCAGGCTTCAACTCCGCGCATTCTTGCCGCTTACGATTCCAGACGGCCTTCAGAAGCTGTTCTCGACACTGTTTCGAGACCTCTTATGGTGGATTCTGGTATGATGACGGATCCTTGGGAGCCCGCCGTGCCTGCTGTAGTCACCGCTGTCCCTGCTGCTGAGGAAGCGCTCGACAACGTACACGTATCATCCTTGAAATCAGCCACATCTGATGCTGGCACTGCGACGGAGCAAGAGCAAGCGCCCGAACTGGTGCACGCTTCGACACAGTGGATCGTTCCTGAATCCGAGGCAGTCATCGCCGAGACCCAGAGAGAATCAGAGCAACCATCCGCTCAGTTGCAGTTGGAAGTCTCCTCTGTATCTTCTGAGGAGACTATTCCATCTCCACCAAGGCGCCCTCAGCTGAATACTGTGTATGCTGTCGGAGAGACGACAGAACCCTCTGCCTCTGTCATCCCTGATCCGCCAAAGGTGGCATTGTCTTCGATCTCCTCCGCTTCTACTGAGCCGATCGTTGCCAGTGTTCCTCAACCCGAACCTGCGTATGTTCCCAATGTGGCGATGTCAACAATTTCATCTCAGGATACCCTGCCTGTTGTGGCAGCCTTCTATGAACCTACGCCGGTGGTCGTCGTTGCTGAACATGGCACCAATACTGAGATTGTGGAGCTTACCGTCTCGTCACTCTACTCTTTGGACACCGAGCCTGTCGCGGCCATTCCCAAACCCACTCCGGTGGTCGAGCCTGTGATCATTGAGAAGCGCGTCGAAGTCGAACGGGAGCTTCCACCGCTGACTCTATCTTCAATAGTCACTCAGCAGACGGAGCCTGTCCTGGCAGTCATTAGGCGGAGCGTAGGCCCAGAGCCTGAGATCATTGTGGATCAAGCCCAGGAAGCCGAGCTTCCAGAACTAAGTGTATCGTCAATCTTCTCTCAACAAACCGAGCCTATTGTGGCTGTTCTGCACGCATCGGCTGAGCCGGAATTGGCAGTTGCGGGTGAGCGAGAGGTTGCCGAACCCAAGCTTCCAGATATGAATCTTTCTGTCATCGCGTCGGAAAGCACGGAACCAGCTACACCACAGTTGCACGAGGCAACAGTGGTTCAAGCTCCTGAAATCTCACTGTCTGGTGTGCGCGCGGTGGAAACGATCCCCGTCAAACATATCCCGACGGCTGTTGTTGTGCCCCCGGTTCAGCTGACCGATGAAAATGCGCCACCGGAGCACAGCATGCAAATGGTCAAGGGTCTCCCTGCTTCCGAACTCCCATTGCTTCTTGTCAATGATGATAGTCCAGGCAACTATGCGACCAGTGGTACAAACGGAACGCCAGACCCCACTCTGCCTTTAAGCACCATTTCTGGCAATGCTGTCCCACGCCACACACGACAGCAATCATCGAGTTGGGTGGAAAGGACTGACCAGGGTGCCCAAACAATCCTGTCGTCGAAGCAAATTGACCAGATTCTCATGGACCGTGTCACCACCCGGCCACTATCTCCTCCGGAAAGTGACAAGGCCAAGGAGCAGAACACCTCACCGTTTGCCACACCCCGAGCACGCACTCGTCCCACTCATCAGTCCTCTCAATCCTCTCTCCCATCCCACCAGCTCAGGCCGGGCAGTTCGCTGAGCCATACCTCAAGCATCCAAAGCCACCCGCCTTTGCCCACCGACCACAAGGAGGCTATCATGGTGGCCGAGAAACGATCATTGGACCAACGGCCATCTTCTCCAAACTTGATGGGCCCGCCCCTTGCCCCAGCTTCCGCTCACCGAACCAATGTAAGCCAGCGCCCGCGGACTCCGAATGAGTCGGGACTCCAAGTCAACTCGATGTCTACTACGACCTCCCGCGTCAAACTCAGAAGCGAGAGTCACAGTCACATCTCACGGAGGTCGTCGGTCTCATCCTTTGCTTCTGAGATCGATGAGCGGTTTGCTGCGCAGCCCATCGGCCCTCAGGGTTATGCCGCTGGTACGGACCCGAGGATGATCCAGGCTATCACGCAGACGATGATTGGCGAATTCCTGTGGAAGTACACTCGCAAGACTGTCACTGGGGAGGTCTCCAGCACTCGACACCGACGCTACTTCTGGGTTCACCCCTATACACGTACGCTGTATTGGAGCGCGCAAGATCCCCAGACCGCTGGCACACGCGAACTGAAGACCAAGAGTGTTCCCATCGAGGCTGTCAGGGTCGTTCCTGATGACAATCCTTATCCTCCTGGCCTCCACTGCCGGAGTCTGGAGGTGGTCAGCCCAGGCCGCCGGGTTCGGTTCACAGCAACCACCAGCCAGCGGCACGAGACGTGGTTCAATGCACTTTCGTATCTCCTGCTGCGCAACTCGGCAGAGAACGGCGAAGAGCATCAAAGCAACGCTTCTTTGGAAGACATCGATGAGTTCAATCCCGAGTTCCGCTCACGCTCCCGCCAGACCTCGAGACTCTCCTTCTCCTCTTCACGCAGTCGGAATGCACGGAACTGGCCGAAGGAGCGGGCCGGCTCCACCATCTCATCGCGCCGCACATTGACGCCGGGTCGAGGCTCCCCTTCGCTTGCCTCCCCCTCGTCCTTTACCGAGCAGAGGAACGGGTCTAGCTCCCGCCTCAGCACGATCCTGAACACGACGATCAAGGGGTCGTTTGGTCGCAAGGGTCCTCGTTATGCCAGCTCGAGTGTCCATGAGGGAAGCATTCACACCCGTGACAGCCAAGATGACTTTCGGCACACGATGGAGAGGCAAGAAAGCCAGGGTGACCGGCTCGAGAACGTGCGAGCTTGTTGTGATGGTATGTATATTCCTTGACTTGTCATGACTGTTCACCGGCTAACTTGACCAGGCAAACATGATGTCAGTGCCTTGTCCAGGACAAGCAAATATAGCCCGCGGGTGAACCGGATTCATTCCCATCATTGAACCTCCACCACTTGGAGTTGAGTTGCGTTGTGTGTCTGTCTATTGGCCGGGCTATCCATCGCCCCGAAACCCGTGGTTTTGCGTGTGTCTGCACGAATCTCTTTCATTGCATCGCCACTGTCATCGTACTGTTCACCCCACAGGAGTACCTTTATAATGTCTGGAGTTTGAATAAGTGCACAATGAGCGTCTGGAACTTGCATACCCTTGTTCGTCAAGGGCGAACTCGTCTCGTCTTGTTTTTCTCCTTCCTGGGCTCCAAACTCCTGGTTGTCTCTCTATATTTACTCGATTTTAATCCCCTCGCGGGCGGCCGCCCCATTCATCCCTCCTCCTCCACTCTCGGTGCCCGGATGGCTTTTTGATATTCTTGTCATTCTTTTTTTACTCTGTGTTTCTTTTTGGCTTTCTCATTGCGTTGCGCTTTTTCTCCCATCGCATGAAAACCACCAACCACCTAACTTATAACCCAACCAAACTTACACACTTAACCTACCTACCTTTATCTACAGCAAACACCCACTAGTGACGGTGACATTTTCTTTTTCTTATGTGGATTAACCTGCTGCTAGGCTGGCTTGAAGAGGCAATTGACACTCTTTGAACGAAGGATTTGATCTTGCTGTATTTTCCTGACGGACTGACTGACTGTATACTTGGGATTTCTTCCTGCTACTAATTGGATTGCCACTCGCGCACAGATACGCATGGATTGTGGTTGCTGGGGGGTGTTTTCTTGTAGGCTTGTAATGTGGCTTCTTGGTGTATGTGTATTTTTGGGGGTGTATATATACCAGACGATGTGGCTTACATTCTGCCCTGTGGTTGTAATGCACAGGCCTATTGCAGGTAAAAAATGTTTGTCGCAGACAGTCAACGAGTAAGAAATGATTTAGGTAGCGATCGCCGCTATGGTGTATGCGTATGTCAAGGTATTGTGGCGTGGTTGTAGAGTGTATACATGGCTATAATATAATTATTCTTTATTCTGAGAAATGCAAAAGGGTATCAATCATACGTCATCAGGCCACAGAAACAGAATATCTCGAGGAAAAAGCACAACCCGAAAGTAATATCCTCATCCATCCATTCCCATCCTGTAGAGCACGAGCATGATACATATATACCGTAGATATACAGCTCTACTGCCCTGCCCCCAAACCCCATCCCATCCCATCAGTCCCCAACCCAACACAAAGTAGAGAATACGTTGAAGTGAACTAAACAGGCTTCGCCCGCCCCGCGGGCCAGAAATCAAAGAGATCCAGAGCCTCGCGGGTCCAGGGCCCTTGGTCGAAGGGGTCGGCGGGGTCGGCGGGGTCTGGCGGGATTGCGCTGGTGAAGGAAGTGTTGGGTCTGTGGGCGGTGGTTAGGGCGGTGGGGTCGGAGTAGGATTTGCGGAGGCTGGTGTGCGTTATGTTTGGTCTTGGGTTTGGTTTCGGAGCTGTGTGATTTCTTGGGAGGGGTGGGATGCGTGGTGGTGCGTTGATTAGGTCGTTGAGGATGGTTTGGGTTGAGGTTGAGGGGGTGAAGTCGTGGGGTTTGGGGGGAGTGGTGGTTGTAGGTGGTTGTGCGGGGGGTGCAGGGGGTGCAGGGTTTTTGTTGTTGGTTCTGGGTGGAGCTGGCGCTGGAGCTGGCGCTGGCGCTGGAGCTGATGCTGATGCTAATGAAGCTGGTTTGGCGAGTTGTCCGCCGCCACCGGGGAGTAAGGCTGAGTACATCAGTTTCTTGCGGGGTTTGCTGGTAGAGAGTCGAAGAAGGACGGGTGGTTCTTCTGGCGTGGAGTTGCTTTCTTTGCGTGACGACGGTAGCTCTGGAGAATTGCCCCTCTCTTTGCGGGTTGCTTGTGATTGTGGAGGAGGATTGCTGCTCTCTTTGCGGGATGTCTGTTGCCGGTGTAGAGTGCTGTTTTCTTTGCGCGACACTTGTCGCTGTGGAGGAATAGTACTCCCCTCCCCGCGAGACATGCTCTTCGCAATAGCAGCTTGCACACTTGTCCTCGAGTCGGCCCTTTGTCGTCCAAGATCGTGGCTCTGTGGCCTTGTGTAGGTAGCGGTAGCGGTAGCAGCTGAATTCGACACTGGCACAGTAGACGAACCCGTCAGGTCAACGACCGCCGGCCGCGGTCGAGGCTGAACCGGCTGAGGCAGTACACGACGAGAAGGGACCTGCTGGTGCTGGTGCTGGTGCTGGTGCTGGTGCGTAAATGATCTTCCTCCCACCGAATCCGCACCCAAACTATCAACCCTCTGCCGTTTCGCAGCGCGCACAGCCGACAACTCTTCGCCCCCGCGATCCGGACCCTGCATAATCCGCGTCGCAGCCAACCCTGAAGTCCCCGTCCCCGAGCCCAAGCCTGTTCCCCCCAGAGCTGGTGTCGTCTTCCTAATCCCCAGCAGATCATTCAAAGAACGCAGAGACTGCTGCGGCTGCGGCTGCGACCCCGCCAACCCAGACATTCTCAAAGGCGACCCCGCGAACGAACCCTGCGTACTCCCAGCAGCACCAGCAGCACCAACCCCCCTCTTCCCGACCCCATTCCCCCCGACTCCCCCGCCCGCAGACCCATGAGAACTCCCCCCAAGAACGGCCCCCAAATCCGTCTCCGACCGCCCAACAGCCTCACAGACCTGCACCAACACGCCGCGATCCAGCTCGAGCTCGTCGCCCTCCTGCACGGCCGCGTCCTGGCGCCAGTGCAGATCCCCGATGAAGTTGCCGCTGGTGTCGTAGGCCATGACGCGTTTGTTGAAGGTGTGGTAGCGCAGGTAGCCGTCCTGCCAGCGCTTGGCCTTGCGGCGCGTGTCGTGCGTGAAGAGGCAGCGGTGTTTGATGACTGGGGCGGTGTTTTGGGTGAGCGGGGTGGTGAAGGTTGGTGATGAGGTGACTCCCGAGGGGGTGGGGGTGGAGGGGTATGGGTATGGATAGGTCATTGTGTATGTTGTTGGGGGTCGGTGAGGAGGGTGGGTGGGCTGTGAGGTTGTGAGGTTGGTATGGAGGGTTGCTGCTGCTGCTGCTGCTGCTGCTTTCAAGGTGGTGGTGGGGGAGGAAGGGTCTGTCCAGGGTGGGGGACCCTGTTCCGGGGGACCATCGGATTTGTGTGCGAGGTGAAGGTTGTAGGTCGTGGTAGATGCTGTAGCTGATGTTGATCGGTGATGATGGATTCGAAGTGGTGGGCGTGGTGTGGTGGTTTGGAAGAAAGTTGGAGAAGCCGACGCGGAGAAAAGATACTTAGTAAATCTCCCGGCGGCCGAGACGCGCCTGAGGCTGCGGTCAGTCCCATGCCTGAGCCAAGTATAACCTCTTATTGACTTTCCGTCTCCTACATAGTCACTCCACTTCAGAGCCAAACTACTTCTAAAACACGTGGACTGTTACTCAGATTCAAAGCTCTTCCAGAGAGATGATAGCGTCTCGAATCAAATGACTCCTACAATGCATTGCTGATTACTACTTTTGTCCTTGGCTCGACCACCGCCACACTCACTCCACATAATTAGCCGGAAAACTCCCCTTCACGCCCCTCAGCTCTCCCTCCCACCAGTCATCCGTGCTCTCCGTCTTCTTCAACACACGGATCCGATCACCCTCCCGGAACGACAAATCCCCCGCCCCTTGGCCCCCAAAATCATACAGCGCCGTCACGAACAGCGCATTCTGAGAATTCAGGCGTGGCGGCGGAGGTGGAGGTGGCTTCTTCTTACCCGCTGCGGAAGACACTGCCGCACGGGATGGCGAGGGAGATGGCTGGCGGTTGCTGCTGCTCGAGCGGTTGAACTGATTCGCTCGGGAAGCAATGGAGGATAAGCCGGGAGAGATACCTGCCGCCGCCGCAGGCGACAGGGAAGATGCCGATGCAACCGGGGTTGACGACTGAAGGTGGTTGTTACTGCTGGGCCGACTGAAATAGTCCGCACGGGCCGCAAGCCCGGGAGACACTGCTGCCGCAGCCGATGCTGGAGAGGGGGACGTATGCTGATTATTGCTGCTATTTCGACCGAAGTAGTCGGCTCGTGGAGCGACCGAAGACACGCCCGGTGACGGGGAACGGATGTACTCGGCCGCAGAGACGTACGATTCAGCTGCGGGAGACGAGGCGGAGGTCTGGGGCACTGGGGCTTGCGGGGAGAGATGGTGACTCGAGCTCGAGGGTAGATTGAGGGATGAAGTGGAGGCGGCCGGCATGCTCGACAGCTGTGGTTTCGGTCGGGGAATGGGTTTCGGCTTCGATTCGAGATTCGGTCGGGGCTTGGTATCGTAGGCCGGCGGTGGTGGCATCGGGGGAAGCTTAGTCTGAGCTGCCGGAGGCGCTGGAGGCGGGAGTTTGCGCTGCACTGCGGCGGGATTGGGGGAGACGGGCCGTGGAGGTTTTGGTGGCGGCGTTTCTTCGTGGGCGCTCGGTGAGCGGCAGTAACTAGATATTAGATTCGCAGGGCGACTGAGATAATTATGGCCGTTGCGCTGATGTTCGTCCACCGGGGACATGCGAACGGTCTTGCCGTTGGCGATGCTAGCGAAACTTTCGGCTTCCTGCTGGACGGGCAGATGGGCGCGCTCCCAGTCTTCGACGATATGCTCCATTGGCGGCGCGGGGACCGGGAATTGTTCGTCCTGGCTGTATTCCAACACCACGGTGTAGTAATGCGCCAACATATTGTTTTGGAGCTCAATCTGAGTGGCCAGCAAACGGGGGAGCAGGGAGAAGGCAGCGGCAATCAGCGGCGGGAGACTGTGCCGGAGTTGCTCATCCGCAGCGTTATAGTCCTGCTCCTGTCAGACCACGTCACTGCGAGGATTTGTGGCGACCTACCTCTGTCGCTTTGGCGAGGTCGCCTTCAGCCTTGACGAGGGCTGCATTGTCGCGATCCGATCGTTTCGTTTTCTTGGTGTAATTATCCACGCGACTCTGGTAGCGTTCATAGTCGAGCTGGAACAACTCAAATCAGCATGGATCACCTTCAAGGTGGGGGAGAAACACACCTTACGATCGTCCCGCTTCTTGATCGTCTTCTTCATCGGAACCAGGTACTCTCTGGCCTGAGTTGCCGGCTTGATCATGCGCTCGTCCACGGCGGTAATATCGGCCAGCAGCTCTCGCCGGAGTTCCTCGTATTGTTCCCGAAGCTTATTTGTCCGAGCCAGGGTTTCCCGTGGCGTGGAGGCGGCTTTTTGACCGGTGGAGGAATCGGAGGAACCGAGGATGGGAGCATAGAGGGCATTGAATTCAACGAGCATGCGGTTTTGGTGGATGAGAAGCGAGGACCAGGCATCGCGCCATGCGCTGGTGAATTCAATAATCTGAGGGGAGCGAGTGACGGCGGGTGGCCGAAAGTTAGTTCCTGTGCTGCTGCGGGGTGATGGTGGGTTTGTTTACATACTCGGCCCAGAAGCTTGTCAGCTTCCTCGAAGTCTTTGAGGAGAATCGCGACCTGGCTTTCGTCGGCGGACCGCTTCATGAAGCGGCCGAACTGCCTTTGCATGGACTGCATCGTGCCGCGTGGCCCCTCGGGGGAGAAGAGGGGAGGGAAGCGAAACGAGGGGAACGAAGGGGAGGTTCACTGATGGGCCATCCAGGAGGGGGAGCAACAGTCTTAAGGAACGACTTCAATGCAGTAAAAAGAAAGAATTCCACCTATGTCACCAAGAGAAGCAAAGGAGAAGAAAAGGAAAAACACAAGGATGACAGTTAGACGAAGAGAGAGGGAGAGGGAGACGGAGTAAGAAGATGACGCAGCCACAAGTGGAGGAAGAAGTGCCTACTAACTAAGTAATGTTTCAGCCTGGCTGGGCTGGCCGCCATTGTCCCTTTCGGTCCCTTTCAGCCTGCTTTGGCCCGCCGCTAAGCAACTAACCTCACACTCACTACGAACCCCGAACCCCCCTCTACTGACACCCCAAATTAACCCCTGTTTCTTCCTGAACTTGGGAGAAAAAAAAAAAAAAAAAAAAGAAGAAAGCGAAAACAGAAGATATTCTGAGCTCCTAGCACGAACATATACAATCTGTTTTATTATCCATCGCTCATAGTCTAACTATCCATAGCCACCCTGAGAAGCATGCATACATACATCTATGGAGGAACAAAAGCTACGGCTCATAAACAATTCATCAGCACAAGGCATAAGAGTCTTGCTCGTAACACAGAACAATATCTCCAGGACCCAAACCTCTAGAGGAAGGCACTCGCAGCACCCCCATCAGTCACTTCCACCCCAGCCTGACGTCGTCGGCTCTCCAGAAACATCTCCACCATACGCTTGCTCGGAATTGGCGAGCATGAATTCGGCGATGGGGTTTCCTGACCCTTCATGTCATGGTAATCGTTCTCGACTTTCACGTTCTCATTGGTCAGCTGTCGGTGGTCGCGATGCCCTCGACCCGTTCGACCATGCAGGGACCTGGAATCCCGCGCTGCAGGGGGGCACCTGGCCGGATGTCTGCCGTACGTTGCACTCGCCATCTTCTGAGATACCCCTCCGGATTTGTTTCTTCGCGGTGTCGGGGACTCGGGCATGCGGAACCGGTTTGATGGAATTGTTTGCATGGGCGACAACGCAAAACTGTTCCTGCGAGAATCGATCTGACTCTGGAAGGGGCCATAGCTAGCCGCATGGTGGGTAAAGCTTGGAGACATCGGTCTAGAAGGCAGCGGCGGGGGCACCGATCCGTCGTTCTGCTCTTTTTTCGTGGTTACTACGGTCTGAACACTGGAAGACCGGCTGAAGGGACGCGAAAAATTGCTAGTCGAAGTGACCTTGCGATCCGACCACATATCGTCGTCGATAAATACACCGCCTTGAGCTCTCTCGATCCAGCGAGTGGAAGCTTCGCAGATTAAGTCATCCTCATCGCTTTGGATCTGTGCATTCTCGCGATAGTGGGATTGGGTGGGGCTGAGATTCTCGATTTTTGCAATCTCCGTGTGCATCCATTGCTTCCAGTCCGCGCTTGGCCGGGCCAATGCTCTCTGTGTTTGAACTTCCGGATAGTGCTTCGGTGAGCTGTAGGTAGCTCGGTGAGTGTCGTAGATTGTAGCCGTTCCTGGCTCTTCTGGGAACTTGGAGGAAACCTCGCCGTTGGTTGTATCGAGCGACTTGCCGCCGGTGGAGCGAGAATATACACTGGGAGAGTTGGAAACTGCGCCAGGACTCTGATGGTCGGGAGTACCTCGGCGTCCGGCGGCTACCTCTATAGACGGCTTGCAGGCCCTTGAAAGTGCAATGCCCTTGTTACCAGAGGCCAAGGAGGTGCTCAACCGATTCTTGTCAGAACAAGAGGACTCTGGGAGGCACTGAGTGGGATACTGTGACCGCCGCGGCGGAGTCACCGTGCCGGCATTCGCGGTGATGAAGGACTTGGATGATGGGATGGATTCATCACTAGGAATCATACGGACGGTCTGCCCATTATGACGCACAGCGACTGAGGCAGCCGGCGTTGGGATGATGCGATGCTCTTTGACCTGACCAATGGCGATGCTTTCGCTTGCATCCGGTGTTTTGCCCTCACCAATCCTTCTCATTAAGGCGGAATACAACCGTTGGCTGTCAATCTTGCTGGTTGGCCTGACAGGGCTACCGTGGGAAATGGGGCTGTTTTCATAGGACGGAGCACTTGCAAGGACCTGTTCCGAATGGACTTTCTCTTCAATTACCGACAAATGGCTTCGACCACCAACGTTGCCGGTCACGATAGTATTTGCAACGGTCGAGTCTGCCCAGCTTGTCACGCGAGAGCGACTCGTAGCCACGCTTTCTGAGCTTTCGGCAATCCCGGCGTCTGGATACTGTTTCGTGTGTACATTGGCTTCCGGATGACTCGTAGTAGGGGTGCGGGGGCTGTGCGTTAGCCAGCCAGTGCTCCGTTCATTGATACCCGTCCCTGTCTTGTCCTGGTGGGATGGAGAAACCCCCGGTGCCACGACTTCGCCCGCAGACGGTCTCGAAAGACCCAAAACCTTCTTAATTCCTTTCTTGATGGAGGAAGAGAGAGATCTCGCTTTTCCATAGGAGTGAAAGCTTGTGGGCTGGGGAGCCGAATGCGTGCCAGCAGCGCCCGCAGCTGATGCGGTCGGACGAAGCGTTTTCCTGAATGCTCTATGCTCTCGACGAGTTTTGGGAACAGACAGCCGCGGCTGTTCCGTCTGAGGGGAGTCGTCTGCCGACTGCTGCTGAAACTGATTGCGAGCCAGGTCAATTGCCGTGTCATGACTCTGCACATGCCGTAGCGGACCAGCCGACGGCTTTTCTCCGCGGAGAAAAGACATTGAACGCCGCAAGGTACCATAGGTGCGTGCCGTACGCGAGGCTTGCTCGCCATCACTGGTTGTAACATCGTTCAAGGGGGACGAGATTCCGTGAGACATGCGCGAACAGCGTTGTCCAGTGGAGAACATGGACCGCGACTTGCGCAGACGCCTATAAGACGAGGGCAAAAAATAGTCTTGGCTGTCAAATCCTTGGAATCCGCTTATGGAAGACAGCGTCGCCGACGTGTAGTGCTCGTCGTGTGTGCTGGAGTCCGTGGTAACTGAGGGGCGAAAAGGTGCGCTGTCGACGGGGGCATTGCTTGCGTTTTGCCGCGATCTAGTATATCGATGGCTTCTGGAGGGCACTGCCATGCTTCCAGGGCCGCCCAGAGCATCATACGAGCACTTGCAGCGCAACATCGCGAGAGAGGCAGCCGTGGTGGCGTGTTGTCGCGCGACAACAGGATCGGAGGTGTCGCTGGAGACGGAGCTGTGGTGGCTTCGCCGGACGGAGCGCGCAGATTTGGCTCTTCGCAAGCGATCCATTGTTCTCGACGACGGAGAACTGTTTATTCAAGCGGATAAGCTGCAGAAGTACCTATATTAAGGACTTGTGATGCTCACTAATCGATGTGTGGATTGGAAGAGTGACGCTCACGGCGGGTGGAGACTGTATGCTCGTGGGCGCCATCTTGCTGAGGAAGGGACGTTTGGGCGATTGCATGTTTGGGAGATGCGGCGCGTTGAATGCGCCTTCCTAAGACTCCCACAGCCTTACTGAAGCTCTTGCAAAGCACATATAGGTTAGGGGTGTGAGTCGGTTGTGGTGCTGTCCACATGGTTGCAATATGGAGAACTTGTGAAGTCGGAGCTCGCGATGTACTGTACCATAACATCTTACTTTGCGGCCAGGTGTTGCGTATACAATCTATATCTGATAGTTCGGTAGATAACAATCGTGGGGCCCAACAGATTGAGGCAAAAGATGCACTACCAACGGCTCATAGTACCGCGAGAAGGTGATTCAGCAGAACTCATTGACCACATAACCACAGGAGATATCTATTTACGCCAAACATCAATTTGACACAACCACCACGACATGACAACTTATCTGATCACCGTATAACTATAAAGCGACAGTCATCCGAGTCATTACAATCCCTCATCCCGATCTTACTGGCCAAGAAAAGTCTAGAACCACAGGGATGATCCCCACCGCCGCCTCGACCGGTCTCGACCCTGTCTTCCACTCACCTCACATAATAGCCCACTGGACCTATGTCAACAACCCATCCCCAATACTCCATACAATTATACCCCATCCCAATCAGTCCACAGAACCTCACCTGTCAAATGCACTGTCAAAGCTCCAGCCGGCAACCCAACATTCCAGGACTGCTCTTGATCCTTGCAGCCCACATATACCCCCCTCAAAAACCAAACCCCGCCCATCAACCGGGGCCCGGGAATGCTCGAACCAGTAAACCCGAGCACATATACTGTACCTCTCCCTTATACCCACACCCAAAAGGGCTACCTCTCTCTAACCTGGACCTTGAAACTTATTTACCATTAAACCCCCCCCCCCGGCCTAGTCACCCTGAGTCCTATGATATATACCGTAACCTCGTATCCCTAGGATTCACTGGACCGCACCCATCGCTACTTCTATAACCAACCCAACATGACCCATCAAGACCCATCCAATCCAAGTCCAGCCACAACCCCGACGGGAAGTAAGTAGAGTGCATTGCATCCCCTCAAGCCAACGCAGAGCAGATCATCTGCAGCCAACACCCACCTGTCAGGTCAGTAATCAACCAGCCAGCCAGCCGCCAGACAACTACCGTAGTCAACCCGCACGGGAAGACCAAGGCAGGGCTCGACCCACGGGCAGGTCTAGACGCCGATCCCGGCTGCATAAGCAACACACCACCCTTTCGCCGAATGTTGATAATAATAAGGCGTCAGGATAAGAAGATCAGTGCGCCACCGCGCAGCCACCAGGGTTGATGTCGATGTCATTGACAAGTGGGGTTGCGTGGTTTTGCTCGTGTTATGCTTACTTTGCTGCAGCGGGTTGTCGTCTACGACTAGTCTTGTTGAAAGGGAAAAGGACAGGATCACTGGTCTATAGGTAGGTGCATTTTGTCGCCCGTCCCTCGATCCATGATGCATGCAGCAGCGGTGAGGAGAAGACAGGGGTGAACCGAGGCTGATCATTCCAGACGAAATGGAAGTGCACGGCATCATCAAAGGCCATTTACCCCGCATTGACGTCAGGCAACCACAAAGCAGGAAAGTCAACATCGACACGCACTGCCAAACTCAGAGTATGCGCTGTTTGATTGAATCATGACGATCGAAAAGAGGACGACATAGACCAGAACCCAAGCGCGTCACACCACTTACCAGCACCAGCATATTCCTAGAATGTGCCAGACCACCGGGAGGGAGCGGGTACCAAGTGAGGGGGGTGGGAACTGGGAAGAGGGGAGGGGAGGGCAGTTAGTGGAGACCGGGTAGCAGATGGTGGATCAATGCCGTTGACGGGCAAGTACTCATAGGAAGCCGTTTCCTGCCGTTTTGCTAGGCTTGACCTTGCGAAGCAGCGAGCTGGGTAATCCGGCTGTACGCATAGAGAGAATTAGTCGGTCAGTAATCTATACCGTGCCAGAATGCCGAGACCAGGCGGCACTGTTGGTTAATTTGTCCTTGTTAAAATAACAAGAGGATCAATACCAGGCTGACATGAAGGCAGTGCAGTCTAGAGGGAGGAATCCCCCACGGTGAGGACGGAGTACGGGAATCCTAATTCGACTGACCCCGTGCTGACACGACCCTTCCCTCTTGGACCGTGGGCAGTACGGCTGGTCTCTTGCACGGGTGATCGGAAGACGAAGACCAAGGCCAAGATCAGGTAAAGCAAGGCAAGGCAGAAGACAAGCTGCAACGGTCCGGGCAATGCCGAGCGGGGCGGGGTCACAAGAAGGGGGGGGGAAGGAGCCCTGAGGTGGAATTAATACGTTGCGCACGCACGCTCCCCCAAAGACAAATGACAGGTGACGGATAATCAGTTACGGCGCACGGATGGTCCTCGGGACTGGCTCTTACTAATTAATGGTTGATTCATGATGACTTCGAACTACGCCGACAATACCGTACTATCTTGGGTATCCCCGTTCTGCAGGGTTCTTGGCTCGAAAGGTCACATGGACAGTCGACAGGTACTTCCAAGCAAGTGGTGAGATGCTGATGCTGCAGGCATCACGGGCTCCAAGACGAAAGAGATCAGCTGTTCACGACAGACCAGCATAGAACATTGTAGAAGCAAAAATAAGAGAGGGGGAAACAGGGTTCAAGGCAGATCCCGAGAGGGTCATCGATCTACCGAGGAATGGTGTCACCATACATCACCCAACCCGTAGGTCTACTCACTCGGTGTCCGTTTCAGGCATCTAGTAGGAACCAGGTAATAGGTGCGAAGTTCGGGCTTTCTTTGTGAAAAGACGGCTACCTACTTTCGAGACACGAATCATGATCATAGCAAAGAGAAAGAAGAAGAAAAGAGAAATAGGGTATATTCAAGTATGACAAGTAGAAAAAAGGAAGTACCTTGGATCGTACAGGTAGCCGAATTGGGTATGGGTAAATCGGCCAACGCATATTACAACAAAGAAAGCAGTAAAGACATGACAAAGAGAAGAATTACAAGACGATGTCAGGATGAAGTCGTGATGATGATCACGCACAAAGGAAGGACCAGGGAATAAAGGGGGGAGTCAAGGATAGTGAGAAGAAGGGAGAAGAAGAAGAAGAAAAGAAGAAAAAAAAAAGAAATTCCACCTGCGCCCACTGCCCACCCGCAGCAGAGAATTCCAGTTGCGCGCGCGGTGAGTTGACAGTTTTCTTGTGCGCCATCCAGAAGATCGACTGACCATCGCGAAGACCGAGGGATACTCAAATCCCTATCTTTGCTGTAGACCAGCTATAGACCGTTCCGTGACTCCCAAGTCACAGTCAACCCGCATAAACCACCAAGTAAAGCAACCTAAAAACCCCTGTAGACCCAATGCTGTGACTCCGGCTTGCCGATGCGAAAATACGATGACAATAATCGTGTCGCAAGAGGTCCATGCGCATTTCAGCTGTCGGAAAGGTCTGTCGGAGATGGCGATACCGCGTTGGCGAGCGAGGGCGAGTGTGTAGCGAAGCAGAAAAAAAGCGTCCGACCGTTGCGATCGGTCGAAATGCGATAACGCCGCCCTCACGCTGGTCTCAGCCCGAAGATGATCGATCCAAACTCCCAGAAATGCATTCCAGTCCGAGCACATGATTAAGATGCAAAAGAAAAGCGAAGGAAAAGTGGGCGCGGGCACAAGGGCCTCCAGGGATCGGTCCCAGCCGGCAGGACCCCTGCCATCCAGTCGATAGAGATCCGGGAGATAATCCATTGCGCCCCTGCCCGTCGCAATGTTGCCATCCGGTCATTCATCATGCGCAGCGGTCGATCATCTCCTTGTATGGTGAGTCGTTCAGAATCTCCGACGGCAGGGCTCGACGGTAATCTCTGGGTTGGGCGAAGGGAGAAGTTGACCGAGGGTGACGGAGCTTCAATTGCTGTAGGGTCCAGGAGTCAGTATAAGGTAGGCAAGTAAGCTTCCGGCGGGATGAACATACCACACAGTCGGGGCATTTGCCGCCATTAATGTTCACACGGCCACGGCAGCCACGAGGATAGTTAGCACAGGAGAACATGGTGATTATCGAAAGTCGAGTCGAGTGAGTATTGTATAATAGCAGGTTTTGGGAGTTGCTGGATGGGATGAGTGTGGTCACGATTGACTGAAAGGCCGGAGCTGAATGGAATCCCGTCAAGGGAGCTTTTTCTAGGGCTGGGGATTTTGCGACGACTTGAAGCGGAACCAGGCCAAGTTAAAAGGAAACCCCAGAAAAAAAAAATTCCAGAGGATCCGAAAAAAAAATAGTCCAGAAAAGTAAGGGCAGTTATAGATAATAATAATCTTAGAGCCTTAGGACCCAAAGGAAATTAGACCCAATTCCACGCCACGGGGCAATTACGTCAAGATCGCAAGGCCGTTGTCCTGCAGCGACACCAGCAAGGGGGGGGGGTTCGATTGTGAGTGGTTTGGTGGAAAAGGAATCGCAAGCGCCGCGCCGGGGGTCCGTTGAGGTTCTAGCGCTGAGGTTGGGCTGCGCCACTAAAGTGGGTGGTGGTGGGATGGGGCGAAAGAGAGACAAAATAATAAAAATAATAAAAATGATAAGCAAAAATCAAAAATGGACGTGAAGACCACTGAAAATGCAACCGTAAAGGAATGAAGGAAGGGATGAAAGAAGGAGGACACAAAATTGAACGATCAACGATCAATAATTATCACCGTGAAGAAACTGAATCGAAGTGAGGAATCTCGTCGAGAGGAACCAACTTGGAGGGCAGAAAGAAGAAACGAGAAATAAAGGTAGTTAATTACAGAGATAGGGATCTCAATGATTTATATCCGTTGTTGGATGGAGCACGGGAGATCTAGTGTCAAGATGCGAAACAAGCCAGAGAGTGTTTGGGGCTAGGAGCACTCAGACTGTAGGCGAGAGAGTTACGACTCACGAGAGAGGTGAGAGACGGGGAAAAAGGGCAGACCCGTCGTCGTACGGTTAGTTAGGCATTAATGACAATCAAATCACCGCAATTGCAACAACAATATAAAGCATGCTCTGCGAATGGTCCTCGCAGTCCCGGCCAGGGAGATTAAAATTTGGGTTCCATGCCATCTAACGGGCCACGGGACGGGGAGAGGGGGCTCAGATGGAGCCCGGATTGTATAGAAAGATGATTCTGATGCAGTCAGTCGTCGAATGAGAGGCACCAGTTGCACTGCTATACGAATCGACCTTCAATGACTTCTTGGTACCTGAAATGCACTCGGGTGACAAGTGTGTGTGGCAATGACGGGACTGGCCAGGCAGTCGTAACAATCCTTCGCTTGAGATCCTGGGCATCACTGATGGAATCGTTATTGGTAGTTTGGTGGCAGCCAAAGTCTCAACAGTGGATTCCGTGTTTCTCGGTTGGATGTTCGAAAATGATCCAGAAGGGAAGACAAGAGAGGGGAGACGGGAGAGAAACCCAAGAGCCCCAAAATAATGGAAGCAAGAAAAAAAAAAAAAAAAAAAATTCCCCCAATTAGTGAATTATTATCTTTTTCCCCTCCCATAAAAGTTCTAAGACGTGCCTCACATTCTGCCCCCATGTAACAGCTTCCAATTCACTTACTGCTGGCAGAATTAATGACTCGCAGGTGATTTTTGCTTTTGGCCCCTGACTGACTTTGCCTCAACTGCCTGGTTGTGTTGTACTAGCCGGGAAAAGGGACAAGCAAGCAGAGACATGATTGCAGGGCGGCGTGGGCCCTGGCCCTGTCAGAATAATGAATTTTCTTTCCTCAACTTAACCTGCATCCATGATGGTAATATGCCAATAATACTTTGTGGATGTGCTCAATCCCCGATAGACTCAAGAATCCTGCTGCCAGAGTAAAGCATACTATGGAGTACTATGTAATTGGATGACTGGCCATCGACCAGCCGTCATGCATCATCGTCAAGGAGTTTCGGATTGATGAGGGCTATGAGAAGCCCGTAGCTTCAGAGTCTGGATCTTGGGCCGAACCGTCGCACCAAGGTCGAAGTTTCCACAGTTTCTGGAACAGCGACTAAGCTTCCCTTCTCCTTTTTTCCCTCTCTTTTTACCCTTCTCCCATTTGCTTTTGCTTTTCCCCGGGCCACTTTTTTTCCCTTTCCCGTTTTGTCTCTCCCATTTTTGCCCCCTTGGGTCTAGTCCTTTTAGGACGGGGGGGGGGGGAGTTGCAAGTCTGGGCAGCATCCAGTCGGCTTTCGGAAAACACGGGATATGTCAATCCATTGATGAAAGGTCTGCCTGTCTGTCCTTCTTGTCGAAGATCCCTGCATGACATTAATGACGGGTTACTTTGGCTGAGCGACTCAGAGGGCAGGGCGGATTGACAGGAATGGTACCGAGCTTTGTCCTTTTCATCTTTGCATCTCTTCATCATTGAATTTTCATCGAGCATTGAATCGGACACTCACATCGGCAGATCATCTGTTCCACCCGCTCAACCCCAACAAGGATTCTCGTCCTTTTCCTTCGGCCTTTCCGTTTGGCTGGAGCCCAGCTGGAGCCCAGCTGGAACCCAGGCCAAGAAGAAGGTAGAGGTAGGCAACCAAGCAAAGAGAAATTGTACACTAACTACGGAGTACTGCGAGAGGTAGTAATGCTGATGCTGACTGCATATAGTCCATCATCTTCAACCACGGGTAAGCAAGACTGCAGTGGACCGTAAGTAACCGCGGTCCCAGTCGGTTGGTTGGCTAAATTGGAACAGTCAGCATCCGCCGCCGCCGTCACTTCCAGCAAGCAAGCCCTCAGCTTGTAAGCCGTAAATCCGTCTAATCCTGGTCGATTGGCAGGAATGACTGCATGACTGCATGACTTCATGAGGCTAATAGTCCATAAGGTACCTCAAGTCTCCAAGCCTTCCAAGCCTCCCAAGCCTCCCAAGCCTCGAAGGAAAGTGTTCAACGAGAGCGCAGGGATTATTTTGCAACTGATTGGTCTGTTCGTCTCTGAGCCTCATCTTTTTTTTTCCCCCGAGGCAGCGTACAGTAGGTGCCTGCCTACCTGCTGTACAGTAGTAAGATGGACGACACCTGGAAAGGTCGAATCCTTCCTAATCCTAATCCTACGGTAAGGCATTCCGGCGAGAAGGTCCAGAACTTTCGGCGAGCAACAAACCACGGGCGATCAAAGGTGATTACACATCTGATTCTTAGCTGGCAAGGTCACTTGACCCAGCTTGATCATGTGCAACCACTGTTTGAGGGACAATTCTCCGTCGCAGTGTTCCATGGGCTGGATGCTTGTGCAGTGCTACAGTACCTGGACGGTGATGGCAGTCCATGCTTCGGCTGGATGTCACAATCGCAATCCCTCATTCCCGACCAGTTCCAGAACAATCAATTCAATTTCTGGAGGCCTCCACCCTCCCGATCTGAATTTTGACATACAACATATCATACATAGTATCTACATACCTTGCCACATCATCCCGGCATTCCTCATCACCTCCCCCTCCCTCTCCTTTTCTCTCTTTTGGCTGAGCGAGTAATTTAAGCTCTCACGCAATTCGGCAAGTCTAACCGTTCGAGATCAAGATCGGTCAGGGTTAGTCAGGGTGGTATGTAGCCTGTTAAGTTAGGTTCGACTCAGGGCACAGGGTGTAGGGTACAGGGTACAGGACAGGGTACAGGACAGGGTACAGGGTACATATCTGCATTGTTATCAGGAACATCACATTGACTTACTTTGTTCATCGGCCAGCTGTCACCTCACTTCACTCACCACCCGACTTTTCTACTCTGGACAAGATCGCCGTCGTCGTACGATGTCAATCGGTTAGCATCCTCGAATCAAATGCAAATTAATATCCATTCAAATCAGTTAATCAATCAGCCGATTTCCCAGCGCAATCGCTTCGCGAAGGGAAATGAGTAAGGAAAAAAATCATGGCTAATTAATCTCGACTCCCAACGGCCCAGCTCATTAAAACTTCCCTTTCCGGATAATGCAGATAGGGTCAATTTCCGTATCCCGACTTCCGTCTTCCGCGCACGCTCTATAATTCTCTCTTGTTGCTTTCACAGTACGGAGTACTATGAGTACTACATAGATCAATCGTAGTTGGGTCAACTTAAGCGACCGACTTGACTGCTCGCTGCTGGCCCGAATCGGTTTCACCAGTGGAGGGCAAAAGAGCGGGGGCCCAAAGACAAGACAAGACAGGACAGACGGACAGACAGACCCTTGTTGTTAATTCGGGCTCCAGTTCTTTTTTATTTGGTTTTTTTTCTATTCTTTTCTTTTCTTTTTGCATGTCTTCTTCTTTTCCCTAGTTACTACCTATATGTACATTGCCGCCTGCTTGGCCTCGCTGTCCTCCGACAATCCTCCTATAGTACACGATCCAGAAGATGAGGCGAAGCAGGCGCATACTTCCGACCCTCGCAGCATCAAGTTTGCTTATCCAGAGCTAGAAACAATAGCGAAGAGCGAGAGGTCGAGCTTATCGAGATTGCGAAGACGGGTTAGTCTCTCCCTTTACATGTGGCAGTCTTTTCTACCGCGCGGGTCTATCCACAATCGAACTCCATCTTCGAGACTAAGATTCAGGCCCCGTCAAAGAGAGAGAAAAAAAATCCCGACTTCATTCCTAAACCCCGGCCGAACTTTTTTTTTCTGTCCCCTGCCCCTCTCATCCCCCCTCCCTGTCTCGCTTTTTCTTACTCCTTTTCCGTGTTGGTGGGTGGTCATGTGATGCACTGTAGGTAGATGTCAGAGGGAGCTCGGTGATAGATAGATGACTAAGTGGCATCCCTAAGTTGCCGAACTAATTAAGGAACGTTCACGGTCAACGCAACAATGAGTGAGGCTGGTCCAACACGGGAAACCGTTTTTTTCTCAATTCTCTGACTCAGATCTTAGGGACCTGGACTATTGCACCAACCTTTCCTGATTGTTTGAGCCGTTATCCATGACATTCAATCCTTGTCTGCTGCTGCAGTTCAAGCTGTTGCTGCTACCCTTTGTATGAGGAAAGCTAGCTAGCGGGTTGGGCGGAATCCGCCCGGTCTAGATCACCCTTGAAAATCGTTCTGTTCACCTGACTTTTCCGTAACTTATACTTCTGGCCTAGAAGCTACCATTGCGCTTCTAGTCCCGATGCAGCTGGTGAACGGTGCATCAGGATCTTCATGGGTGCGTGACCTTCGGCGATCATGTCCGGTTGCACTACTGCTCGGTCGGGAGGAAGAAGAAGAAGAAGAGAGAAGATGGTCTGTCTGTCCTGTCTTGTCTGTGTCGTGTTGGTGCGGGCAGATTCGAACTAGCTGAGACCTCTGTGCTAAAAAATAGGCCGCCAAATTCGCCGGACGCGGAGTCCACTGTTTGAGCGTGAAACCCGAACGAACGGTTGCAGGGGGGGGAGGGGGTTGGTTTATTTTGAGGTGAACGACTCAGGACCACATCACACTTTCACAGTTCACACCCGTTCGTGTCGGCAATTATTTATCTGAATGGATCGAAGATCAATCCCCCCCCCTCTTGTCTCCCTCCGATCGACATGGGGCAGGGCTCCGCGTCGGAGCGGAAAATAAGGGGAGAGTTTCGAGTCGCAGATTTCCCTTTTGACACTAAGGCTGCAACGCGACGCCTCGTCAGGCGTTCAACAGTGAGCGAAGCACGAGCCATGCACCCAGAAGCCCAACCACCGTGGCCACCAACACCCCGTTGCCCTCCCAGGTCAGCCCGAGATACGCGACACAGCCCACCACCAGCTCCTTCTGCCGCGCCGCATCTCGTCTACGCGCCCAGTCTGGGTCGATCGGGAACGGGCCCGCCGCCGGCCGTTGGGCCAGCGCATCTGCTGGTTGCATTGGCCGGGCCGGGACGGAGACCGCGAGCGCGACGGCACGATGGTCAGAGGATGGAAACAACGGCAGCGCCTCGTAGCGCAACGGCCGGACGGGTTGTCCAGGCTGGTCCAGGTACAGCACACGGTCACACCAACTGGGCCAGCGGGTCCCCGTCCACTGCCAATCCTGCGAAAATGCGTCGTGATGATCGCCCACCGCTTTACTTACGGCGTGACGTGCCGCCAGGCTGTACTTGTACGTCGGAGGAAAGCTGATCGGCGCTTCCGACAGTCCCTGAAAGCACCTCGACTGGGCCCTCTCCCGACTTAGCTGATCCTCCTTGAGCAGATGCGAGTAATGGCGCGGGTCCGACGTCTCTACGTTCACCCGGGGGAATTTGCTCGTCCGATCGCCCGGATGGGGCGGTCGATCGGCCGTCCGGTAGTTGAGGTCTCCTGCCAGAAAGAGGTAACTCGTAGGGACGTAGATGCCCCGACGCTCGTGTTGTTGCCCGACCGGCGAAGCCGCTGTAGAGCGCTGTTGGAGCAGGGGTGCGCTTTCTGATGCGGCATTGTCTTCTTCTTCGGTCCCGACAGGCTCCCGACCTGCAGCGGCGACACGACTATCCTGACGCTCGAAGACCAGCCGTTCGACCAGACTGCGCCAGTCCGCATTCCTGCGCTCAACCGCCCATTCCATCGGCGCGAGATGCGCGGCCACGAAGGTCAGCTCTACGGGTTGTTGTGCGTCTTCTCTTTCTCCCTCACCGTCCCGCCGGGATGATGATGATGATGCCAGGTATCCGAGTCGCGCCCCCACGGCACCCTTGTTGCCCATCTCTTGGAACCCAAAACCTATCCAGGCCGTCTCGAGCCAGGCTATTTGGCCTGCCACGTCGGACCGGGCAAACACCATCAACCCTGTCATCCCGGAGTTGTCCGTCACGATGTTGACGTAATGTATATCATCCCAGCGCTGCGCGACCGCGCGGTTCACCACCTGGCTCAGCGTGTCGAAGTACGGGGTCAGGAATGAGCCCCCAAGGAAGGCGTACGCGATCGGCGCGATTTCTTGTAGCGAGAGTACGATCAGATCGGGGGGAGGGGCAGACGAGGAGGAGTTGTTGAGATTGTCGGTGAGCGGGAGGGAGTCGAAGAAGTGGTGAGAGAATCGATCGACGTCGACGAGGTTTCGGGCGCAATTGAAGGTGAGAATGTAGAGGTTTAGTGCGTCCATGGCTGGTCGGATCTGTGGAATGTTGGTGTTGGTGTTGGTGTTGACTTGGCGTTGTCGTGATGAAGGTTGCGTATGACTTGACAACATGAAAGGGAAGCAGAGGATGAGTGCGGAGAGTTGCTGCTGCTACGTAGTTGACTGCTGCCCAGTGCACAGCTGCATGTGACGGTCGGAGAGGTGGAGTGGAGCCGACGGCGGCAGATGAGGTCATCCCTATTTGTTCTCCCTTTCCACAAACTCACTCCCTCACTCATTTACTCTACCTCAACCTCAAGAATCAGTGCAGTTTAGATTGAGTGCTGACCAACATGGCTTCATTCTTTTGCCAGACAACCCCTCCACCAAGACATTTTTTGTTCCTGGAGCACAGCTCCCGTATGAAAGGCACGCAGATCGCTCTATATTTATCGCGCTGTCCCACAATCTACGCGATGCAAGGGAACCATGGAAGTATGTAAACAAGGTACGTGGCAGTCTGCAAGGTCACGCTCTAGAACGTTTCTAGACTCTTCCGACTCGATGGCACGCAGAATGTCAAATGTAGCTGGTCTGGAATGCGGGCTACCTTTTAATAGAACCTGCATGTTGGGGGTGTCGTCCACCGCACACGCTGCAATACCCGCCGGCAGAGGAGGAAGTCACAACTTCCCCTTCACTGTGCTGTCCTCCAATTCGACCAATAACATGCCTTCTGCTACCTCGTCCTCGTCGTCTTCCATCGCATACACCCAGTGCACGCGGCCCGCGCGGGGGCTGCGAATCTCCACCTCCATTTTCATCTGCTTGACAAATGCCACAACCTGGTCTTTGGCGATGTGATCGCCGGTCGCCACTAGGATCTCGATCAGCTTGCCGGAAAGCGGGAGGACAATGTGTCGTGGGTTGCGGGTGTCCCCACGCCGCTGGGTAGACGAAACCAAGGCGGATGCTGCAGTTGTGGTGGCTGCGAGCTGGAGGCGATACGCTGTTGACGAGGTGGAGGTGATGTACTCGACTTCGGCTGCTAAAGTGGAGGGGAAGTCGTTCTGGAGTACGCGCGTCACCCGGAGATGATGACGCAGGGCGTCCGTGTCCTGGGGTTGCTTCTGGGGAGAGTGGAGAGGCTCGAGAACAACAGACCATGCGTCGCCCCCGCGAAGGAGCGGGTTCGACGCTGGGTTTCGGATAAGCGACGAGAAGCCGGCTTCGGAATGGGCTTGCTCGCGGCGACCTATTCCCGCCTGGCTCCCCAGATGAAGGACTTCCGTCAGGTGCGACTCCAACCATTGGTTGTCGATTCTGCCCGAAAGAAAGTCTTCGTGGCCGGTGATCCCGCGCAGCAGATCTAGATTGGTGCTGATGCCGCCGATACTCGTGTCTGCTAGCACTCGACGAGCTTTCTGCACCGTGCCTTCCCAGCTGGATGCGGTCACGACGATTTTGGCGAGTAGATTATCGAACTGGGTGCCAACCGTCACCGGTTTCGCACCTGTCGAGCTCACATGGGTATCTATTCTGACCCCGTTGCCACCAGGACACATGAACTCCGTCACTTTGCCTGTGCTGAGTGAGAAGCGGTCATGGGGATCCTCGGCGCATAACCGTAGCTGCATGGAATGCAGACAAGGAGCTACCAGTGATGCAGGCTCTAAACCAGCCTGCGAAAGTGTATTCCCTTGCGCTAGTCGCAGCTGTATCAGGACGAGGTCAATCCCATGAATCTCCTCTGTAATGGTATGCTCGACTTGTAGACGTGGATTAATCTCAAGAAAGTAGAATTGGCCTTGCTGCTCATTGACCAGGAACTCCACAGTACCTAGCGAACGGTAACGAATGGCCTTTGCCATGCTCAGGGCCGCATCCAGCACCTGCTGCACCAAATCTCGGTCCAGTATAAGAGACGGGGTCACCTCGACTATCTTCTGGAACCGTCGCTGTACGCTGCAATCGCGCTCCCCGAGCTGACAGACGTCATGTCCGTCACCTACTACTTGCACCTCGACATGGCGATATCCGTCCACTGCGGCTTTCTCTGCGAAAACCGTCCGCGAAGGCGACTCTGCCATCGCTGCGTCGACTGCACGCTCCAGCTCACCATTGTTACGGACTAGACGGATCCCTCGCCCCCCACCACCGTCCACAGCTTTAATCATGACGGGGTATTGGACCTTGTGTGTGAAATCCCGGATCAGGGCAATGTCAGCTGCTGGGGTCGGCGTGGCTGGCAAGACGGGCACACCGCACTCGATAGCAAGTTGCTTTGCTTGGAGCTTGTCGCCGGTTCGCGCCAGCGTCTCCCAGCCTGGTCCGACGACCGTGACTCCGACATCTTGCATGTAGTGGGCGAAGTCGGCGCTCTCGCTCAGGAACCCATAGCCCGGGTGCACGGCCTCGACGGCATGCTCTTCCGCAAGACGGATCAGCAGCGGAATATCCAGGTATGCTGCGGGTGATTCCACCAGGATTTCCTTATCGGGGCGACCCAGGTCGCAGTGAGAGCGATCCTGCTCTGTGTAAAGAGCGAGCACTTGGATTGGTGGTGACAGCTCACGGGCTGCTTGGATGATGCGCACCGCGATTTCGCCCCTGTTCGGTTGAGTAGGTTGGTTTATTGGGCTGAGATGGAAGCATACCTGTTGGCAACCAGAAGCCGTGAAAACGGCCGAGGTCGTGACATTTTAGATGATCATTTGTTATTCTCAGTTGGTTCGGCTTGGTGGTTGTTTATGTTGATGCGGTTCATCCTCGGCCCTCGGGGCTGAGGGCTGACTTAATCTTACCCCTCACGGCTGATCATCTCCGCAACGATAAACCAGCCACAAATTCATAGCCCTTACTGATCAAACCATCAAAATGCCAGATGACAAGAGCGATAGCGACGCGAAGGATAACCAACCATCCTCAGTGACTGCTTCAAAGCGCTTGCGCCAGGTCGCGTCGCATCTACCGGCCGACTACTCCGATGTGCTCGCTCAAATTGACACCCTCCGCAGTATCGCTGCCACGCCCGATGCCTCCCGACGGGGCTACATCCGCCAGAAGCAGGCCGGAAAGTTATGGGTGCGCGAGCGACTGGACGCTCTGCTCGACCCGGGAAGCTTCCAGGAGATAGGCTCTCTGTCCGGCACCGTGACGTGGGAGCAAACCGGCCCACTGCGCGAGAAGCCCGTCGCGTTCGTACCGAGTAACAATGTTCAAGGGATGGGGCGGTTGCGCGGCCGTCGTGTGCTGCTCACAGCCGACGACTTCACCCTCCGCAGCGGGCACGCAGATGGTGCCTCGCACGAGAAGACCATTTACATCGAAAAGCTCGCGCTTGCCCTGAAGCTACCGATAGTCAAGCTGGTGGATGGAAGCTCTGGGGGCGGCAGCGTCACGCTCATCCGGTCGGCAGGGTACAGCTATCTGCCCTATGTGTCGATGTACAAATACGTCGTGGAGCAATTGAACCAGGGAATCCCGAATCTCGGTGCGGTTGTCGGTCCAGCCGTAAGCGTCTCCCTAGCGGGTGACTGCAACTAAGCTAACGAAAGTACGAACGTCTTGCAGATCGGCCTTGGAGCCGCGCGTGTCGTGTCGTGCCATTTCTCCGTCATGGCCGCCGACGTGGGCTCGCTGTTCAACGCCGGCCCGGAAGTAGTCAAGGGCGCCACCTTCGAAGAAGGCCTGGATTTCCAGACGCTGGGCGGGCCCGTAGTGCACTGCACCAACGGAACCATCGACAACGTCGCCGCCAACGAAGCCGAGTGCTACGAGCAGTTGCGCACGGTGCTGGGCTACCTGCCCAACTCCGGCCGCGAGGTGCCACCCGTGATCGAATCCGAGGACCCGGCCGACCGGGAAGACGAGGCCCTGCGCCGGATCATCCCCCGCCGTCAGACCAGGATGTACAACCCCTGGACGATTATACGCAGCGTGGTCGACCGCGGGTCGTGGTTTGAGATCGGGCCCTTGTGGGGCCGCACGGCGATCGGAGGACTGGCGAGGCTGGACGGGCGTCCCGTGGGGGTGGTCTCGCTCAATTGCGAGGTGAACGGGGGTGCCCTGGACGCGGCGGGGAGTCAAAAGCTGACCCGGTTGCTGAAATTGTGCGATGTGATGAATCTGCCGGTTTTGCAGTTCATCGATGTTCGTGAGTTCCCCTTGTGCCGCGACAGGCCTCCAGTTTCCTGCCCTTGGCTCATGTCTTTGCTAATCCGAATCCATGGATATAGCCGGCTACGCCATCGGCACCGTCGCCGAACGCACCGCCACAATGCGCTGGGGCGTGGAACTGGGCAAGACCTACTTCACCACCACGACGCCGCTGTTCAGCGTCATCGTCCGCCGCGCCTACGGGGTGGCCGGGGGTCTGATGCTCGGGGCCCGCGACCCCGTCATGCAGGTGGCCTGGCCCTCCGGGCAGTGGGGGTCCCTCCCGCTGGAAGGGGGCATCGAGGTGGCGCACCGCCAGGATCTGCGCGAGGCGGAGCAGCGCGGTGAGAAAGCGGCACTCTACCAAAAGCTGGAGGAGGAGTACCGCCGGTTGATGAATCCGGTGCGCACGGCCAATGCATTTGGGGTGGAGGAGATCATCGATCCCAAGGATACACGGAGGGTGTGCTGCGCGTGGGCGCGGCAGGTGTATGGGACGTTGATGGCGGAGCGGTTGGCTGATCGGGCGACGGGGAAGATTCGGCCGGTCTTTGCTTGATGAAGGTATCAGCAGGCTAGAGAGTATGATTGGCATGCCAACTGATCTTTGCTCAGAGATGTTGCATTAGCCGCTCAGCTGATCACTTTTGTGTACACGCAAGCGCCAACCATCAATCTCAACATGGGCCGCAAACCTTCCGGCCGCACTACTCGGTGGTTTTGATTATAGCGCGATAACTATGTACCACTAGCCGGCACGCCAACCGGGAATTACTGCCACAAACGAGCAAGGGAAAAATTCTCCATGAGTAGATGTGTACAGCCAGCCAGTGATTTAAGAGGCCTCGAGAATCTCGAGGGGCTCGAGCCCTCGAGGTAAGCCAATGTTGGACATCGACGCGACCAGGCTCTTGTGGACGGAGGCCACCTACGCGCAGGTTCTGGGACCCGCTAACTTCCAAGCACTTGTCATAGAGCGTCATTTAGCGCGACTATAATGACCAATCATGGGTATCTTTGCGTGTTTTACTCATTCCATAGGCTGGCGCTATCACAAGGAGTGTAGTCCTTCGAGCAGGGATGAAGATGATGCGGACAGTAGGAGTACATATAAGGCGTCTGGACCGTTTGGATCCAAAAGCTTGCACTTGTCTCTTATTCTTTCTGGATCTATTTCCTTTGTCTATTCTCCGACACTGTCAGAGTCGATTTCGGCCCCGGCTTCATCGTCGCCCTCCTCGTCGGAGCTTTCAAGGTCAATCCAGGAGTGCTGGTATATGGGCTTCTCATCTGCGGGGTACCCTGTTGATCTTAGCCAATTGAATATTCCGCGGGTAGCGGCTTCGGATAGGGACTCGGAGGAGTATTGATCAATTTCTTGCATTGTTGTGAAAGCGTGCTGCTGCTGCTGCTGTTCTTGTTGTTCGTGTCCATCATGTGTATCTAGAGCATTGCTGTACTCGTCAGGAACAAGCCCTATACCCGATCTTCCAGTTCCTCGCCATTCTCAAGACTCCAGTTTCACGACTGATAATCCAGACCATGGCACCCGCAGTCTGCATGTTGCTGGACCTGAGGTTCGGTGTCACACAGCAGTGTAGTGCCGAATGGCTTCCACGGATAGATGGGAGCTCGAGTGAATCCGTCGCAACCCGTAAGGAAGAGCAGACGACACTCATCCTCGCGGCGAATCGTGGTTCCGTCGCTAGGCCTTGATTTCAATGTAATGTAGGACTGGTCCGTTCCTGTCCATGCAGCGGCGCTAAGGTCAAGTGCTGTCAACCCATTGCGAACATCCCGTAACGTGGACTTGGCCATGTCCACGATGACAGCACCAAGCCATAAGCTCCCCAGTCTAGGTGCTCGACGTGCGAAGATCCTCACGAGTGCCGGCATGTCATTCGCTTGAAGGAGCGGATCGATGACTGCAATGCAGGGTTCAGCCACGCACTGACGAGATTGCATGCAATATCCGCATTGAAAAAAGTGCTGCACAGCAGCGAGCGCATGCCCCACACATTGGTGCTCAACGTCATGTAATACGGAAGCAATCTTCCATGCTCTGCAATGAGGAGGTCCTTGTCGATCGGTTGTGTGGGCTTTGCCTGTGGCTGGAGGACTTGTCGGGGCACTGGGAGTGAGATTGCCTTCCCCCGAAGAAAAGGAACATAGAGCACCGCTGCTAGCGCAGCCGAGCATTGGCCGTACAGGCGGTGGCGGGCACAGAGCCGTGAGAGATACCCTAGCGCCGTGCAGGAAGACGGTGGTGGCGGCCGTTCAATCCCAGCCACGGAGGGGCAATAATCCGCAACAGCAATGCGGGATGTTTCTGCAATGCGGACGGACCATGGGGATAGATAGGTTCGCTGGTTGTGCTCTACTGTTCCGGAATGATGGGAACCAGACAGTATGGCCGCCCACCACCCTGCCTCGTCTGAGTCGGCAGGGTATCCCAACCCGATGACGGCGGCATATTGATCGTTCGGTTTCCCATCAAGCTGACAGTCTTCCGTTCTGCAACCAGGCACCCTCTCCATTAGCTCTGCCCATCGTGCTGAAAGGATATAAGCCCAAGCCAGGAACAAGACGGCAAGGTAGTTGCCTTCGTCCTGGCCCGAGATGCCCCGAGTACCCGGCCACTCCGTCAAAGGTGCCGAGTCGGAAAGATACACGGAAAGCGAGCTCTGCACGCCTACTACAAGCTGGGTGGGCAGGGCCTTTGGTTTCAAGGAACATTGTTCGGGGCTTGCGGTAGTTCGCCATATCGAGCGACAGCTGGAGATTAAACCGTACTGGCCTTCCCTGGATCCCTTTTCCACTAAGCTCAACGGAATCCGAGCATCCTCGAAGAGCAGGCTGCATCCGAGGAAAGAAGGCATTCGCTGGAGAAGCCCCTTCAGATTGAAACATTCCCACGGGAGGAGGGAAGATGCGTCCGGGAATTCGAGATAGGAGGACCATGCCTGAAATCTTTGAAAGAGGACTCGATCATAGTCTGCTTTGTTGGGCCGAAGGGGATCGTCCATGGTGAAAGGAGCGCTTGCGCTGGGAGGGTGCTTGCAAGGAGTGTACTGAGTACAGCACCGAGGTATCTGCCACTTTATACCAAGACAAGACAAGGGACGACAGCCCTTGGTAAGTCACCTGACTCCTCGAGATGCCTCTAGAGATATCTTCCTTCAGTCGTGGGGTCGAAACAATCCATTTGCCCCCGTCCCTTCTCTATTGTGTATTGTGTTTCTCTGACGGTGTTGTATGTATATCAGAGCCAAAGCGGGGGACTTTGATTTGTCCCAATTGAGGAATATTTGAACCGAATTCCGAGGTCAGCTGACACTATCAACTAACAATCATAACAAAGATATTCGACTCTAATGTCTGAAATGTTCTTCTTCTCGATTTCTTCACCAGGCCGATGGGTACAGTCACTCACTAGCCCCAGATCGACTCAAACACAAGGCACTGGGGCTCTGAGAGCATGAAACAGGAAGTGAAGTGGACAAGCCGACACAGAACGGCGAAACGCAGATGGAGAGCGAGGACTTGATAGTCATCCCAGAGCAGCTCTCTTGCTTCAGCCATATCTTCTCAGGGATGACTGAAGAAGCCTAAGAATGACCAGCGGAATAGTCCTCGGGTGGTTGAACTGGTAGTTGGGAAGGCATACAACCGACAGAATTAGGGTTAGTGCCGATCGGCACGAGTAGCCCACTGCAGTACATGCTTGAAAATCCACCAGACACACGTGTGACAAACAAAAAAGTAGGAAGATGCATAGTGATCACTAGGTGGGTGGGATTCTACGTAAGGCAGGTAATGTACCTACTTGCGCCAATGAATTGATTGGATCATCTCCATGGTCTTGACTTGAGTTGATTCCTAACTTCAATTGGGTCTTGATATGGCTGATCGGTGATCACCAAAGCTATTCATTCTATATCAATTCCGGCCTTGAAATAGCAAGACACCAGCGACTAGTCTGCCTGAAGGTGGCTATGTCTCGTACATAAAACCTATCAGCTGGGATACGGTCAAACCAGTATGATGCTCGCCCGAATCGGTTTCAGATTCATCATAATCGAAGACAGATCCGTCATCATGGTCCAGAGCATCGCTTCCCCCCTCACCACCGGAGCTCTCCAGACCCCGCAGGGATCCTGTGGGGCGTAACCAACCAAATATTCCACACGTTGCGGCACTATCCAGTGACTTCAACGGGAAATCCTCTACTTTAGCCCGCCTCAAGCTGATTGTTCGTTGCACAACCGAAAGTTTTCACACGCCTTCGGCTTGTGTATCTGGAGTTGTTGTGCAACTCCGGGAAAAAGTCCCATTGCTTCTCCTCCTTCCGTATTGCTACACAACGAACCAAGCAGAGTTGTCGTCAGACTGGAAGAAGTCCCAAATCGAACGACCTGCGATTATTCCCGGAGAGCGGCTGTGGGAATGGTCAGTGAACATTTGCAGAAGATGAACATGCACCGGGGCTATGGTTGCCGCAGGCCTTGGATTAACCAGATCAGCTTCGCTATTTGTGTCTCCGGACAGATATCCGGTTTTGGACCTCTGACATAGCATCCAATAACTGTATCGACATGGATGTATTTTAAACTAGTAACATGTAATACCCAATCTGGCAGTGGAGGTTTACGATCTTCTGCAATACACATATTTTCAAATTAGCCGGAGATAGACGAACTACTTATAGGGTATGAACAAGGGGCCAGGCGCTCCAACAAGAGCCAAAACCTCGTAACCTTATCTCTACAGATAAGACAGTGACAGAACATCAATGTTTTAAAGTAAGTGGTATTCTAGCTATAGTGAGGCTGGTATGTACTCCACATATTATACTTTGTAGAACAAACAAAAAGGGCAAACTCTTGAAGACATCGACTGACAGCGTGTCGACGCGGCTTCGGAGGCCAGGGAAGTATCCATGATCTCAGTGAGCCCCGTCAGACGGAAAGTATATGTTCATTCACAGGTCCATATGTCTAGTACTGGTTGATCAAGCCTGGTGCTTTATTGTCTTCCGCATGTCTCTTTTCCTCGATTCGACTGAAGCACGGTCATGAACGTCATGACTTCTCGGGCGATCTCTCGAGGAATGGTACTGTACTGATCAAGTATGCTTACATTCTGACAGCTTCCAGGAGCCGAAAACGTTGCAGGGGGTGACGACCTCAGTCTGAGAGTGCTCAACGAGCAATCCACGACGTCACTATACACTCCTGGTAGAATATAAAGGAAAGGGTTTCTCGCCGATAGCCAGCACTCCTCAGCCATTCATAACCACTTCTGCAACTAGCTTGAAAAGAACCCCCTACTGGAATTTCGAATTTTCTTTCTTCGTGCAAGTCACGCGCACCTCCCGGCCACGAATCTGTCATCATGGATGGATATACTACTTCGGATACCAGCCAGCAGAGGCCATACTATTCTCATTTGATCCAGCTCCATAAGGATAACGGCGCGGGCGATTGGCACCGATGGCTGGTGGTGGCTGCCACTCGCTCCGACATGATCACGTTCTTTAAAGGCCTGCAGAAATATGCCAAGCGGTCCGACGCCAATATCACCGAGGTGGAACCGGTGAATCTCGCCTGGTGGACTTTCAGCGCCCGGGAGGGCTACAACGTGAGGGAGCTCATCTGTCAGATCTATCGGCTGAATCCGACGTGGTACGGCAACATCCACGAGCTGAACGATAGCCGGGGCAAGATCTGTGTGACGTTGCAGGATGATGCTGGGGGGAGGAGATGGCCGGTCCTGCCTCCCCAGGACACTTCTATCGACGGCATCTTCGTGCGTGATGACAATGTGTGAGCCTATGCAAATAACTGGAACCCAGTCTACAGTGCTGGAGAGGGAAAGTCTCTTATTGCAGAAGATAAGATATTGTGTTTGTGTCTGTGTGAATCCACTATTGCGACGGGTGAGAATTGTTCATCAGTGCTAGTCATGATATTTTTAAGTCTATAGCAGAAAAGAGCTATTTCTCTGTATCCTAAATGTGCGTCGTAGATCTCGGGATTGTCATGAAAGTCTAAGGAGGAGACAAAGGGCTTTTCACGCCTGCCAATCCGGACACTCATTCCGGGTGAAGATTACCATTTTGAGAACTTAAGGACGAGATAGTGGTACGGTAGTTATCACCTAGTATAAGGGCTGTGATGGTCGTGTGGCTGGGCAAGTGAAAACCTTGCGACGCTTCTCGCTCCGTTTGCGTTCTGTACTGCATGCAATGTAAACCCGGGGGATAACCTTACTGAGCTATGACCCATTTCCGATTCCTGTGTTATTGTCAGCAGGCGACACTGCCGTATTCTGCAGATTCTAGGATTTGTCGCTGACTTCACGCCGACCATTCGCTAGCTTAGTCTGGGTTTGTGATGTACCCAAGACCCGCGCAACTTGATCTCAGTCAAAGTTAGGCTCAACATTAAACCTCTCGATGACTAGCTCTAGCGGGGATGCCTCGACCCAGATCCATTTCTAGGATGTAACCTAAGACATTGGGGTTCACACGGGCTGTCGCCGCATCCATCAGCATCATCAGTGTATCAATACACGCCAAGTGGAGGTTACCGGAACTGACAGCTTCAGATTGGGACCGGGGATCTGCGATGGAACCCTCAAGGTAAAGAAAGGTATGCAAACTCAGATTCGGAACTCAATTTCAAAGTCAAAAGATACTGGCAGGTGTCAGGTTGCGTAAGGGTCAAGTGGGAACCCTATGTCAACCCCGGATACGGAATCCGAACTGATCGGGCCCGCAATCGCCGCCGCAGCCGGAAAGCTTGGCAACCTAGATTTACTCCCCTAGTATAGCTTACGGGAATGTCACGGAAGTGTCATCTGAGGTGGTTCCGTGTTTTCGCTAAGAAAAAAAGTCAAACCCTAAATGAAAGATGGGGAAAGGTTTGGGACCCAGAATACTCACTACTACCATAGTAGAAAACATGCATACAAAGGAAATTACCTCTACTGGGGTTTTTCCACTCACGCCGTCATTCATTTTGTCCACCAGGGAGGTTGCATTCGGAAGGGGGCAAGTCAATGCCTTCAACACTTTCTGACCAATATTCGAAGAAAACCAGACGAGAGAAATAAGTAGCTGGACTCAACAGCACCAGGCTGGCTGAAAGTTGCGACATCCCATCTCTCCCACACTGTTGCACCCTTGCGTCTATTCGCGTCTATTCCATCCGACACTGGTGACCATCATGATGCATTTGTCTTATATCTCCCTCATTCTGAGCGCTGCGCTCACCGCAGCCAACGCGCAGAGCGCCGGCAAATGTCCGACGCCAGTCGTGGTCCTGGACCCGAACAGCCAGCCGCACTGCTGCCCGTCTGGATACCAGCACAACGGGGTGGACTGCGTGGCCTGCGTCCCGCCCGACCTTTACTACAACCCGCGCACGCAGAAATGCGAGAAGCCCTCGTGCCCGGACGGGCAGGTGTTCTTCTGGTCGCTGAACGCCTGCGACCACACCGACCGCTGCAAGCCGTGGGGGTACTACAACGGCCGCGACTGCGCGCCCAACCCGTACTGCCCGGACGATTGGTACTGGGATCCGCTCAAGCTGAAATGTGCCCCGACCCCCTGCCAGCACGGGCAGGTGTACCTCGCCCACCTCGACAAGTGCGAGGAGAAGGCTTTCTGCGATCCCGACGAGAACCAGGTCTACCTGCCCTTCGAGAACCGCTGTGAGACCTGCCGCCCGGACGAGTATCCGAGCCCCACGGGCTGCCAGCTGCGTCCGGGCTGTCTGTACCCGGAGTACTACTACCAGGGCCCGGACAAGGGCTGCGCCCCCTGCGCCGACCCCAACACCTTCTGGAACGGCAGGGAGTGTGAGAAGCTGCCCGACTGCCTGCCGACCCAGCACCGCGTGGGCCGCGTCTGCGTGGACAACGACTGCAAGGTCGGAACCTACTGGGACAAAAAAAAGCTCCAGTGCCTTCCCGTGAAGCCCTGTGAGATCGGCTGGATCTTTGACGGCGTCGAGGACTGCATTCCGATCGAGTATCCCCCGGATGGTGGGCCCATTTGCTACGTCAAGTGTGATCGCGCCGGCCCGCTCGGCAAGAAATAAATGTTAGCATGCATGCATGCATGCGCATGCTCTCTCTGGCGATGGTCCTCGACCGCATGATGCGCCGGGAATGGCTCATTCTATTCTCCAGGGAAGAGAGGGTGTTGATGTGGATGCTTGGGGAATGTACTGGTGTGGAGTGGACAGAGCTGCTGGAAGGGTGCTTGGGAACGGCTAGCAGTAGTTGTACAAGTCATCTTTTATGTGACCACAAAAAATTGAGAAGACCACTATACTGCAGAGGCATCCGGCTCGTAGCATCAAATCCCTACATCTTTGTACACGGGCTAGTACGCAGAGCACCAGAGTACTGTACAACTTCCCACCCCCAGTCGTAAACACGTGCATTAATAAACATGGTCCAACTAGACAGGCGATACTAGCTAAGCACCACGACTGCGAACGGACATTCCCCAGGTTATACATGGCCCAGAATAAGAATGTGTGGGCGTGATGAGAATCTAGTGTCCTGGACCAACGCTGGGACCGCTACAAACCCGGTGCTCATTGAGACCATGCACCTCTCCTCCCATGATTTAACCATAGAAGGGTATGATCCGAGTTGACGTCAATAACTTGAAATTCATGTGAATCGGTTTCAAGCAGAGTAGCAATTAGGTTGCAATAGTAGGGTGGGGGCTCCCTTCCAAAGCCAAAGCCAGACCTTGTACGCTTGCAGATGGCACCTCTCAAACCCTCTCCAGAATACGATCTATGACGCGCTTAAGACTAGTCTAGAACCTACCTGCCGTTCTGAATGTATTCTCACGCAGAGTATACTCCGGTGGGACTATTTTATGAAATGTCTCTGTTTCTGTAAAGCAAGCGAGAGGAAGGAGTGGGAATTGACCCTCTCAAACCTAACCCGTCCTTCACCTGTATGCCCCCTTGCTTCAGGTTAATCAATCTACCTCTTTTGCGCGTTTCTAGTCATCATGCGCTTCAATGCGTTCCTCTTCTCGGCCCTGTGTGTCAGTCCACTGGCCTGGATTGATGCCGTCGCGGCGGACAGCTGCAAGGCTCTGACCGACGAGAATGTCGCGGACCTCAGCGACTGCTGCAGTGGGACCCGGCCGCGCAATGAGACGGTCAACTTCAACCTCATCGAGATATCCTGTGACCAGCGGCCTGCGTCTACTGGCTCCATCTCCAGACTCAAGATGAACTCGGCCGTGAACTGTGTCGGCCTGGTGCTCCGCGGCGACCGCGCGCTGGTGGCGTCGTGGGATCCCGTGCGGAGGGAATGCTGGTACACCAAGGCCCGCGACCCGCCGCTGACCAATGCCCCGGGGTTCCTCCTCATGCGCTACCAGGAGGAGATGGAGCAGGAGGATTGTACCATCCGCGTGAAGCAGGTCGAGGACAAGTGCCGGCAGGACCTAGCGGCGGAGGAGACGAAATGCGATCAGGAGAAGGCCGCAGACAAGACCAAGTGCGACCAAGACAAGAGTACTTTGGAGACGGAGTGCAATA